GTACTATTCTTCATTTCACTGAAAGAGTATTACTTTATCCACAAGGGTGAAAGTAACATTTTTACAGAGGCTCACTTGACTGAAGCAATAAAAGATTTGTTTTTGTAATCAATTATTGAAATAGGATTTTAGATTGTGATTCTCTCTTGAAAGGAAATGAGATTCTAATGCTAATTGGAAGGTAATGTAGGACACGAACCTGAGTTGTAGTTTAGTTTATGGAGACTTCAATACACCAAGATAATGTTAACTCTTTTGGAGACTTCATGTTAACTCTTTTGCACCAAATATATCAGATCAAGACTCAGATTTTCAGATTATAAAATGACTTTTTGATTTACTCTATTGTAGTTAATAACGTTAACGAACAAAGATGATGGTACTAATAAACTAATGAAGATTAATGAACAAGCAGATTGGTCGGTTAGTGGGAGCAAAGTGTTTTTTTTATCCAGCAGAAAAATTTTAGATTCTGTTGCTAATTTGCATTTGGTCACGACAAAGCGATTCTTTTCTCACTTTTTCTTCTTCTTTATCTAGCCTTCGTATCGTACCTTGTGTTCTATTAAATTGCAACTGTTGATATTTGTCACTTATCAATTCATTTATTAGAAAAAACCTCGACTTTCTCTATCTTATATTCTCTCTATCCCAAAATATAAGATGTTTTAAATCTTTTTATTTGTTCCAATATATAAGATATTTTACTAGTTTCTATATAGATTTAAATATTATTTGATAATTTTGACTTTTTGAACTATGTAGTCTTTTATGTGATTGGTTGAATTATATTTTTAACTAATTAATAAATATTGTTTTGTTAAAAAAAAATTTCTTCTTAATTCTCGTGCATTCAGCCAAAACATCTTATATGATGAGACGGAGGGAGTATAATATTTTAAGGTTTCAACTAATTGATGCTATGGGAGGTTGCCATGTGTCATTTTTTATGTTAACAATTTTTTTTTAAGACCTCACTTTTACTTAATTTTGACATTTTACCCTCTAGATTTTAAGTTTTTTGTATTGATTCTTTAAAATAATTTATTAATTTAAAGTAAATATTTAACATCAAATTATCTTCATAAATTAATTTAAAATATGTAAAAACATATTTAAAGTAAACATTTAACATCAAATTATCTTCATAAATTAATTTAAAATATGTAAAAACATATTCTAATACATAGTTTTTTGGGAAGGTTATTGAAATAACCTACAAATTCAAGTTAATTGCAAATATACACCTCATTTTCTCTCTCACCAAAATTTTTGCAAACTAACCATAGAATTCAACTTATTTGCAGAAATACCATTATATTTGAATTATTATTTTTTTTAAATCAGACATTCAAAGCTCAAACTCAAACACCCAAATATATCAACTTATTTACGAAAATGTCATTATCATCAATATTTACAACCAAAATCAAGCTCTAAATGCTTCTTCAACTGATTTTTCGTATACAAGAGCTTCATTTGTGAGCTCATAACTTCTATCTCACCCATTTCTTCTACAATTTTATCCAAAACACTATCTAAATTTGGTTTTCAAAATTTTTTCTCTCATAATCTATCGATTTTCAATGGTTCTTGCATAAACGACGGCTGGGCTTCTTTGTTAACAGTCAGAGTAGAAGTTTCAGGTGCTTGAAGGAGCTGAAAACCGAGTTTTACGGCGGAAACGGAGCTGAAAACTATGTTTTCAATCTTTTTCGCGATAGTAGACTGCATAAGAAGTCTGCTAGTCAACGAAAGGTTAGATTTGCAATTGACTTTTTAAAAAAAATATTCAAAGCAGACTGCTCGTGAAGACTGTTTGTTTTCCTTTGATAACAAAAAAAAAACACTCGTAGACTTCACATGAAGTCTACTTGAAAATGAGTTAGTTTTGCATTTAACCAAAACTTTGACTTTATAGAGCAGATTTCTGGTGGAGTCGCTGACTGGAGACTGCAGATAGAGTCTGCTCCGAGGTTATTTCTGGCATTGACCTGATTCTTGACCTTTTTAGCATACTCCATCAGAAGTTTGTTCTGTACGGACGGGTCAGTTTTGCGTTTGACAAAAATCACAAACATTGACCAAGAAAAATATTTATCGGCAGACCTCTTAAGCAGTTTGCTATTAATTCATTAAATTAGCAGACTTCTAGAGAAGTCTACTGCTAAATTAATTCGATATTGGTCAAACACAAAACTAACCTTTTTTAGAATAGACTTCTTATTCAGTCAACTCAAAAAGTCAACAATTTGGTCAATTGCAAAAGTAACCAGTCTTTTTTTAGCAGACTTGTTATGCAGTCTACTCAGTTCAGCATACTTCGACGGTTTTCCGCGTATTTTGTAGACTGTTAGAGAAGTCTACCAGAAAAAATTAAAATCTGGTCAATTGCAAAAATAACTTTTTTACTTAGTTGATTTCATAGAGAAGTCTACCTAAAAAGGTTAAACTCTGGTCAAATGAAAAAGTAACCTAATAGACTGCTAATGAAGTCTGCTAGCGTTTACAGTAATTACAAAAATAACCGATTGTGTAGATTACTCTAAAGGAAAAAAATTGGTTTCCACTTGTACCAAATTTTGAAATGACGAAATCATGCATACAGTATTCTAATTTCATAACACTTCAAATA